AGGTGTCAAGTTTCAAAATGCAAAATTCATTTATTTATTAATTAATTATTAAATAAATTTATTAAGTATTTAATTCTAATATAATATAATTAACTCACCCCACCCCTACCGTTCCGGAGACTATTCCGACGATCGTTCGACCACCACTCTGGCGATCGTTCCGACGACTATTCTGGCTACTGCTCCAATTCCAACAATTTATACAATATGGTCATTGATTCACAATTTAGTTAAGTCACATATTATTTTTCAGTCACAAATAATAATTTTTATACGTCACGAATTATTTTACGATCACAGTTCAAAAATTTTGTATGTCACAATTAATTCATTGGTCACAGATTTCAAAATTAGTTGATCACAGATCAAAATTTATAGGTCACACAGTCATAGATTTTTTCATGATCACGGATTATATAATTTTTAGGTCACAGATAACAAAATGATTGCTCACGAATTATATTTTTAATTATAGATTACCGAATTTTAAGGTCACAGATTATATTTTTAGTCACAAAAAACAAAATCACCAAATTCGCTGATCCACCACCTTTGAACTATCGCTACGACCACTATAAACATATCATACCAGCACGTCACCAGACTCACCACTACCGCCTGTATCCTACCTAAATCCACCAGGCCACCACCACTATCGTCAACCGCACCATCGACACCTCCACCTCCACCTCCAAAACCAACAATATACAACCCACAACCTCACCAGGCCACCATCACGATCGTCAACAGCACCATCGACACCTCCACTTGTAAAACCAACAATACACAACCCACAGCCTCACCAACATAACCAACGTCTCCAACGTCTACACGGCCATCGCCAGAAACCAACACAGCCACCAGGACCACAACCACAGCCAAACCCCCCACCCCACCCCACCAAACACACCCAGCAATGCACTACCCCACAACCTTACCAAAATCGCTGCTGATCTGCCATAGCCACCAACACATCCACCTGCACAACCAACAAAAATAGCTAAAACTCTCAAACACCACCCAAATACCAACACAAGAACACCACAATCGCGCCCAACAGTTAAAAAAAGAAAAAAAAAAGATGAAGAAGAACTGTATCGGTCACCCATCTATAAAGCTGCCGCGGCGATAAGATGAGTCGCCGGCATCAATCAGCGCGATGCTGTTGCGAACGACAGTTTTAACGGACTGCAACATCGTGATGCTGCCATTCACAACAGCGTCTGCCTACGATCGTAGGCGAGTGCCGATGCTACTCACAGTAACATCTCCGCCGTGTTCTCTAGTGACGATGCAAGGAAGGACAATAGAGAGAGATGAGAGTGAGGAAGGAGAGACGAGAGAGAGAGAGAGTGGGAAGAGACTGTTCTGTGGAGATGAATTAGCGGGGATTGGAAATTAGGTTTTAATTAGAGTTTTAATTATAAAACCTGATTTTTGATTAAATAAACTTTTCACCTGATTTGTGAATTTAGCAACTCAAAACACCTAATTTTTTATAATTTCCCTTGAAATAAATTAATAAACAATTTGACAAATAAATAAATAAAAATAAGTAATGAATAAGTATACAGTACTTATTGATTTATTTGAATATATGATTCTATATGAAGTTTGATTATTTATAAGTTAGTCAAACGGAGGCTAAGTGATGTAAAATTATAATATCTTTGTTTTAAAAAGATTACATAAATTAATTATTTTGTTTATCATTTTAAATAAGCCCAAAAACTTTTCTTTCTTTTTCAACCACTCATTATTTACAAAAAAAAAAATACTATTTCAAAAATTGTAATGCCAAATAGTGGAGGCCTAACGGGGGCTAAAATATTTTAAATAATCAGTCCTTAAGTTGAGATAAGATAAGAGGGTTGTCATAAGACGGGTCGGCCGCTGAAAATGTGCTTGGATTTGTTTAAAATGTTGTGTTTGGGATTAACTGGGGTTTGTCCAAAATGTTTGTCAATAAGCTTCCATTTTTAGGCACAGTTAGACGCTACAAAATTTTCGTCCAAGATAGCTATTAAAGTATATTGGATCGAGCTTCATCTTAAAATGTCAATTTTGGTTTGAAAATACCAATCTCAAAATTCTACTACTTATTAAGCTTATCGGATTCTGATACAATATTGAGTCTTGTGGTTCCATTTTAAGGTTGACAATATTATTAAAAAGTAGCTCAAACATTAATATATTATCCTTCCACCGCAGTCATGTCCACTTAAAGAAGGAATCCAAGGCAACTGGTTGAGTAACTGGGGCCTCATTCAAGTGTAGTCACGGTCTCAAAATGATCACCAAAGGTCAATGAATCTCGAGTTGAATCTTGCATATAACTTGATTGTATTGGACACTTGTTTTATTACATGTAATAGTCAATACTGTTTAATTTACATTACTATAAATGATCTGTCGAAATACATATTTGATAATCTTGCAACATCTTAAACTTTGCATGTAATTTCATTCCTAAAAAAAACATGTAAAGCCTCCCATGTATGAAATGCTGTCTGAAAATCTTGAAATATCAACAATTTTTGCCTTGTAAAATTTGGAAGCAAGATCCTGATCCTGATCATAACGATGGGACGGAAGGATTTCCAAGCTGCAATGTATTGATCAATCAATAATTAATGCAATAATCAGAACAAAATTGGACACAACAACTGATAAATTATTTCATGTCTCTCTTTTTTAATCACGTCTAATTCTACTTGACCAAATAAAAGTATTCAAAGCAAATGTCAAACCTCATTTAGTATGACGCTTAAGTCATCATCCTGATTAATGAAATCGTGCTGATTATCGCTGCTGAAATTCTCCTCAATAAGCTCATTCGAGAAGATCTGCATATTTCCTAGACATTCATTCATTTCACTGTTTGCTTTGCCACCAAAACTAGTCATATTTGCTGCATCAAAGTGCCCTGAAATTCGAATGATAAAAAGTTTAATTGCATACGTGAATATTATCTACTAATTAGGATCCCAGTGTATAAAACACTAATTCTACATGAAAATGCTTTGACAGACGAAGACGAGCAAGAAATCACTAAAGAAAAGATAAATACCTGGCAATGGACATTCGACCTGCTCGAGCAACAAATCAGGTTGAGAATTCAGAACTTGATTCGAAAAACCTCTGGATATTTGATAAGGAGAGTAAATATGGTTGAAGGCACTAGGAGATTGCGTATACGGCACAATTTCCACGACAGGGAGGCTATAGTACTGACCAAGATTTCCAGAAGTCGAAGGAGAAAAGCCAGAGTTGAAATATTGATATCCAGGCATAAAGCAAGGAATCTGAGTCGAATTGGCCATGTAATCATTTCCGAGAAACGGACAAGGCATGGCTGGCTGCATTTGATTCATCACTTGAGAATGTAAAAGATTTTGTTGGAACTGAAGTTCATTATTCAAAGGTTTTGGATTTGCAGAAAAGGAATCTGATATCCCGGTATTCACAAAATATCTACTGATAGGATTCATTTGTTCAACATTACTGATTCCGTACCCTCCTCCGCTGTTAGAACGAGTAATAGTAGGTCGACCGGATTTACTAGTTGATGCAGTGAAATCAGCATCAGACAAATGTTGTATTGTTCTATTCGTATCAACGATGTCCTGTCCCAATGTTTTTCTTTGCTTCGCCAATATTTTTCTGTACTTCTGAAACACCCGAAGGACTCAAAGTGAAACGATGAACATAATATCCACACAAAGGCAGAATAAAATTAGAAAGAATGAAGTTGATTAAATCACCTGGAGATGACTCCCTACATTCTCCCGAGTTAAACCTGGTTCGTCCATAATCTCGAGTATCTTGGTTGGAATTATTTCTGCAGATGACATGATTAATTATACGATGAAAAGCAGAACACGAGTATTGAACAGTACAATGGACAAGATTTTAGTTTCATTTTCTTCTAATCAAGTCAGGTTAAGAGTACTCACTGCTGTGAAGATCTACTTGCAATTGCTGAATCGCATCGAGAAATTTTCCATGCAATTGTCTAGTCCATGCAATCCTCTTTTTCGTATGTTTCTTTCGAGAAGAAGCTATTTGGTCGGATCGAGACATTTCATCCTCTTTCTCCATGTTTCTCTCCTTATAATCTTCAGTAGGAAACGATTGTACAACTGTTTCCCGAGTTTCAATGCTCGATGGTGGATGATCATATTCAGGTTTCTTAGTTACATACTCCCAAAGTTTCCTCAAATCCTCTATTTTAACAGGCTTTGCCAGATAGTCTTGTGCTCCATGTTTTACACCCTTCACCACAGTTTGCGGGTCGCTATTCTTAGAAATCACTGCAAGGAAAACCGATACTTAAGTCCGAACAAAAAAGGGATAGAGTCACGTTCGAAAAATAATATAGAGCTTCCGGTCGCGTCTTACTTATGACAGGAATGTCGGTCTCGAGACGTATAAGCTCTAACAGCTTAAAACCATCAACATCAGGCATTATAACATCCGTCACTACAATGTCGAAGTTATCTTTATTCTCCTTCAGTATTGAAAGAGCTTCAAGCGCACCGGTTTTCGCAGTAACTGCAATCGACATAATCATATTAGTTTGGAACAGAAACCTTAACAGAATTGAGAAAACAACTGGAATCTGATTTAAGAAACTCAATTAAGATTTTTCTAATCGACAACATACCAGATTATTTTCTCGATACGCAGGATGTAAATAAGAATAATTTTACGCAGTATACGATCTTATAAGGTGTAACATACCTTCATAACCACATTGTTGGAGGCCAACGACAAGCAACTTCAGACAAACAATGTTGTCATCAACAGCAAGAACTCGTAAGCCGGTCTGGAAGTTGTTATTTTTTTCCATCTTGTTCTCCAGTACAAGGTTTCTGTTTCAGACACACTACAGAAAAGAATGTCTGGTAATAATTATCTGTTAAGGATTATGGACGAGATTTCTAGGGTTAGAGATTTTCTGGGTTCGTGAAGTTTTTATAGAACTGTGGAAGTAAGGCTTTGAAGATTTTTGGGGAAATTTTTGGGTTTTTTTATGGAAACCATGGAGGGGTTAGAAAAGGAAAGTAGATGTTTCCATTTTTAAGGTTGCTTTACTTGTAGCATAAGCAGCAACGGAAAATTATCGCACTGTTAATTAATGCAAGTCTGCAAAGTCATTTTTACCCTTGTGATCTCGTCAAATTCCTTCGCTTTCCTTAATTTGAATACTCTCTCCCTATTCCATCTTCTTTAGTGCATATGTTAAATTGATCTCTTCAATGGTGATTTTATTTGAAGAATTTGTCTGTTTATTGTAGATTAAAATCAAATTTTTAGTAAATTTTGATAAAATTTGTAGTTAAAAAGTTGTGAGTCTCATGAAATATATGGTCAAAATTAACCGTTGACTTTGACTTGAGATTAAAATTAGATTTTAATTTGTACCAAACATGGGCTAAATCAAAGTTAGTAATTAATTTTGATCACATATTTTATGGATTCTGTAATTTTTGAACCACACATTTTATCCGATTTTATCAAAATGTACTAAAAATATGATTACCAAACGGGAGCTTAGAAAAAGTTACAAAGAAAGGTGAAAATAATTTTATTTTACGGGAGAAATTGAAAAATCGATTTCAAGTAACAACATAATTTGTCGTTGAGACTATACATTCATTTTTTACAATTGTCATGGTATTGAATTTTTCTGTGTAGGTGGTGACGGGTTAAGAACATCTTTCAAAAAGAATACGTTTCTTTTGCTTTCGATGGATGGTGGGACCATTGTGAAAATAATTGCTTATTTTCAACTTTCATTCATAAAAATTCTTATTTATTCTAGAATTATCATTTCTCGGGTGAGTCGGTCAAACAGAATTTTCTACTTTAAAATGGATATTTTTTCTTTATATATGTACACAAATAGGGGAAAAAAATTCCCCATAAAAAGTTTATTGCACTTATGTTCCAACATTTTTTGTTGCATTTCAAGTTTCAACTTTTTGTTTAGAGTACGTTTGAGTCCTAATTTTTTCAAAAAATACATTTTGGAATATTATTTTGATGGAAAATGTGTTGTTAAAAAAATTAAAAAATTTTGGATATGTGTGTAATATTATTTTATTGAAAACCGTGTAATTGAAAATAAGAAAGAGAAAAATATATTTTGAAAATAATGAAAAACAACAAGAGCTTACTATTTTTTGTTTCTGGTGATAGTCTCTATCAAAAGAATTATTATGGAAAAAAAATATTTGTCCTTATACTTTTAAATAATAATAAAAACAATAAATACTTTGGCAAAACATTTACTTCTTATTTCAACAGAATTGAACTCTGAAGCACAGACTCGGTTTATGCTAAACACCGGTGACGTAGCATACTATAATAGGTCGTGTAATCACTAATCAGGTTTGTAACTAATAATCTTTCACCATCTATTGTAGTGCGTTATACGAATGTTTAGCATAATTTGAGTACTGATGTTTAAAAGATCAGTTCTCATTTCGAAGATATAAAATTTACCAAATAGGCTTCTGGAATTTTATAAAATTAAATAATGAAAAAGTCTTTTAAAATCATGATTTAAAATTTATTTCGAATTAAAATTTTGTATTATTAAGAGGAAATTTCAATTTAAACAGTAGGGAGTATGGTCTAGAATTTCCAGCCCCATTGTTCATGATATTATTTTATCCAAATGAAAAGTGAGAATCTTTCTTGTTTCTACTACGATTTTTCTTTGTCGCCTGCAAAGAACAAATCAGTGAATGCCCAGCGGGAGTTGGCTTCTCCTGCCTTTCGTGGTTTCTAATTCCCTTATACCAATCCAGTCAACTCCCTCTCCTTCTAGAAACAAAAAAAATCCTGAATTGATTAAATTCTTTGATCAGTTATACACGAAAAATACAGATATATATTTGTGGGAATGATGTATTGTTGATCAATTGGTTGCTTTAAAAAATATTCTGATCTCCAAGAGAAAAAGGAAACCAATTTGGAATATTTAATATGGCATCAGAGATCGAGGTAGTGGAAGAAGTGGAATCTGGAGATCGGAAGCAGCCGGCGGCCGAGGTGGTGGTAGAGGATGAGAGCCTGCGAAACGATGTCTACACGGCGGCGGCTTATGGGGACATGGAGAAGCTGCAGCGCCTGGTTGAGAGCGAAGGTTGCTCCGTTTCTGAGCCTGACGCCCATGGTTATTATGCTCTCCAATGGGCCGCCCTCAACAACCGCACTGCAGCCGCACAATACATCATCGAGGTGCACTAACATTTTTATATATAGGGATCTGGGTTTGTCGTTTCTGCGTGTATACTGGGTATTGTACATTGAGTTATTGACTTCATCTAATTTAATTGCATGGTGAATATGTATCTCAGTTAATCATCTTTTGTTGAAGTGATTAAGATTGTGCATACATAAATTTTCTGTAATGACGGGAAGACCATCATCCTGAGATGTGAAGTTAATTGAGTTGCTTATACTGTTATATAGAAATAAATTTTGATACTTATTGATAGCCAGCAATGGGTCAGGCACGCGGAGATTAATTACCATGTAGTTTTGAGTTCTATTAGATTTTGTTGCTTGAATGTGCACACAGCATTGTGAAGTTGCATATATTATACAGAAGAGATTTTAGACAATGTCAGGAACTCTAGATGTAAGAAAAATGTTGTGAGCATTGGAGCTAAAGAATAAATTAACACCTCTTGTAAAATATAAATTTGTTTAAAATGTTACCTGCTAACCCGTGACCTGAGTAACTGAGAGTAAATTTTCAAAGATAAGATATGATTTATGTTGCGACCTGTAAATGAAGGTGTGAAGTCATTGTGACTCTCTCGCTCTCTCGTTTCCCTGTCAATTTTGTTCGTATTTTGATTATATTGTGGTACACTTGACAGCATGGGGCTGATGTTCATGCAGCAGACCATACAGGCCAGACGGCTCTGCACTGGAGTGCCGTGAGGGGTGCAATCCAAGTTGCTGAGCTTCTATTGCAAGAGGGTGCTAGGGTCAATGCTGCTGATATGTATGGCTATCAGGTTTGTTTATATTCCGGTGGTCCATTTTTTTCTGCTTTGAAATGTTTGAGTGTCATACATACATTTTAATTCCATCTTCACACATGAATGCATTTTTTCAATTTTATTGTAAGTCAATATTCTCCATGTTGGTTCTATGAATGTTTTTGAAGAGAAGGAAGCCCTATCGGAAAGCCCCCTCCCCCTCTTTGATCCAATCAATAATTCAAAAAGAAGAGAGCCAAAGAACCTACTTCGACATAAGTTACGATAGTGGTCCTAGTCCATTTAATGTCTTTATTTTTACCTATTCTCTCTGTTAATTGACTTAGTGAGGTTTCAAAATTTAGTTTTCTTTGTTAAGCATGATTTGGCCACTGAGGAACATGTCTAACCTCATACTTAGGGCCTTTGGAACTGTGAGAGGTATTGGTAACGAGTTCTCTGTTAATCTCCTTCAATGGCTGCTCTAGGACTTTTGTTTCTTTTTGCATTATTTTTTGAAGCTTTTGGGGCCGTCACTTCCACCTTCCCTCAAATGATCCACTATATCTCATTATCTCCCATGGATTGACAGGAAATTTTATTCAGAGTACAGTTGGTAGCTAGGAGAATTATGCAAACAAATAAGTTTCTTAGAATTTGAATAAGGACTTTTTTGATATGATCGTCTTTATGACATGGAAAGTTCCTAGTTAACTTATCAAGAAGTTTCGGGATGCTTTATTGCTTATAGTTTACCATTAGTATTCTCCCTCTCCCTTCTTGACATGCCATCTTAAATAGGTGTGCCCCGTCTGGTGGGTGTCACCAAACTGACACCATACCAAAGAATTGTGAACTGTCCTCCTATGTGTGGACTAATGATAGCTGAAGTAAATTTTTTTTTTTTTAAATACTATCAAATGTTTGGAGACCTGGAGCTACCTTCAGTGTGATGTAGAATTTTTTACTATATAATTGGTAGTAAAATCACAATGTGAAGTAAATAGATGGAGAAACAGATTATAACAAACTGCCAACAAATTCAATTGTAAGCAAAGGAGAATTGGTTGCAGAGCTTTAGATAGAGAACTGATTAATGACTTGAACCATGAAAACAACAGTGAAGTAGTGTAACTATCTGGTAGTAAGAGCAACAATAACATACCCTTGATTTTCAAACAGTTCTTGTGTCACATTTGTTTTGTGTCTTTAAGGTCAATCTGTGTTCCAGCAGCTGAATGCATATTCCAGCCAATACTCTTGCACGAAAATTGTTGCACTGAAAATGGCTTTAGTTCCTATTTATCTAAAGAAGGAAAGAAAGAAGAAATGACTATGGTCCTGACCTTTTCAGCATTCTCTCTCTCTCTCTTTTTTTCCCTTGTAAATTTAGGACTTCAGTTGCTGAGAACTTGCTAATGTAGATGCTTTGTCACACTCATTTTAACTGCAGACAACACACGTTGCTGCACAATATGGTCAGACAGCTTTCATTTATCACATTGTAACAAAGTGGAATGCTGATCCTGACATTCCCGACAATGATGGAAGAAGCCCTTTGCACTGGTACTGGACAAATGTAATCGTTATTTTCTGCAGTAGTTCATGTTTAGAGTAAATTTGGTTTTGCATTTTTACTGCCAGTATCTGTGATTTCTAGATTATGTTAACTCGCATTACAAGGTTATGAGATGCATATTGACTTTAGCTGGACGAAAAGACGGTTATGGAAGGCACAGAAGAGGTCCTTTAACTTGATCTTTGTCTTTGGAACCTTGTAGGATTTAGATTTTAATGGTAATTTGGACATAAAGGAACTCCAAGCTTTTTGAAGAAAAAGAACAATGGC